TTAGTACCATCATTGGTTAAAAACTGGTCACATTTGAGAGCCACTTATAGTTGCCTCACACTGTAATAAATGTGTTATTGTACAAACAATTGTACTGTAGGATAGGAAACACTGACGCTTGACTAACAATCAGAGAATTACTGAAGGTTAAAAATCAGTACCTATCAAATCAAGTCTATGCTATTTCATGTGCACATAGAATATAGATGTTGGTATTAGGCTGCCTACCAAACTGAAGATTTACAAGAGCCATTGTGCTGACTTCATTGTTGTATGCTTGTGAAACCTGGACAATCTACCAATACCATGCCAGAACATTGAACTACTTCCATTTGAATTGTCTTAGAAAGATTCTTAATTCTACCTGGCAATATAAGGTACTAGATACTGAGATCCTCTCTTGAGCTTAACTGCTAAATATTCAAACTCTACTCCACAGAACGCAACTCTGATGGATTGGCCACGTTGTCCAAATGACAAACATACTACTCAAGATACTATTTTACAGAAAACTCAAACTAGGCAAATACTCACACAGAGGTCAGAAGAAATGATACAAGGACACTCTCAAAGTCTCTCTGAAGAACTTTGGTATCGATTGTGAGACATGGTAGATGCTGGCACAGGACTGCTCAGCCTGGTGTGCCCACATCAAAGAAAGCTCTGTGCTCTATAAGCAAAGCAATAACTCAAAGAAATGTGAAATACACAAATCTAGAGACATCTCCATCCCAAATATCCAGATGGACTACTTGTGTCCAACCTGTCGTATAGCCTTCTGAGCTTGTATTGGTCTGATCAGCCACAGTTGAACACAGTGTACCTTGACCCCAACATCATGATGTAATTTTGGTTCTCTTCAAGTATGAAGGATAGACAACAGAATACGTATATTTATCATTCTTACAATACTCAGATTTTTTTCTAATATATTTTTACTCTATAACAATTAATCGTGGCTTTTTTTTTTATCATGGCTTTTAGGTAGTCCAATAATTTTAAATCATCTCTCCTCAATCTGTTTTCCAGGTCAGTTGTTTTCCAATGAAATATTTTACATTTTATTCTAATTTTTTCATTCTCTTGATTTTGATTTTGTTTTTTTATGTCTCATGGAGTCATTATCTTCCCACTTACCTAATTCTAATTTTGAAGGAATTATTTTCCTCATTGAGCTTCTGTATCTCCTTTCACCTGCCTCATCTCTTTGTAGAGGGGAGTGGTTCACAATTGTTGTTCATTGAATATATTTTCAGATTTTTTCAATGTATTGATCAATTATGTTAATTTTTTCCTTTTTTGTCTTTTAAAAATACTCTATGTTATATGAAATAATTCTCTGGGAGGAATCCTGGGGAAAATTATGATCATGTAATAAAAAAAAACAAAAGATAAGAATAAAAACTAATTTTTTTAGAAAAGCATTTGATTTGGTAGAAAAATAATAATAGCTAACATTTATATAGTACTTTACAGTCTGCAAAGTGCTTTACATTATGTTATTTCATTTGAACTTCACCAAACCCTGTGGAATTGGCTCCTTTTTGAAGTTGTAAGTTCCCATTGCTAGGGATGCTTCAAATGGAGCCTTAATGACCACTTCTCCAGGATGTTTTAGAGGAAATTCCTAGAACGTATAATGAAGATATACACATATATCTATATACACATATGTATATGTATGTATGTGTACACACACACACACACACACACACACACAGCTATATATATATCTGAAACTTAGTTCATAACATTGACATAAGAAATAACTGAGGGAGATTTAGTTCAATGTAGTTTGTAGTTTGTCTAAAAAAGATAGAGGCTCTTAGTGTACTGTAAGCTCAATGTGAATCAACAATAAAGTATGGCAAATACATGTTTATTGATTAAGTAAATGAAAGTATATTGCTTACTTTAATTAGCTATATAGGTTGGAGTAGATGACCTCTGAGGCCTCGTCTAGTTGAATTAGAGTTGTCCAAAAATAGAGCATTTTGCCTTGGGAGTAATGAGTTTCACAATAACTCTTCAAGCCAAAAAAGCAAAATTTGATTTTAGGTTGCATTACAAAACATGAGATGGGACTGGACTTGTAATTTCATCAATGTAATGATCTCCCAGTGGAGTACTTCCTCCACCTCTCTGCAACATAGATTCTTAGAAAGTTGCCTAGGGTACTGAGAAGTTAAGTGATTTGCCCAGGGCCCCACAGCCAGTAGGTGTTAGAAACCAACTCGGATCCAGGCTTCAAGGCCAGGTTTCTATCCACTCTATCACACTGCCTCTCTTGGTTCATGATAAGGAAACAATCATTTGTATGCTGAGATGAGAGTGAACAAGGAGAGATGGTGAGAGTCTGGGATTTGTAGACAGGAATTAAGGATAGATAATAGAAGAGTAAAGAGATGTGAAAGGGGAACAAACTGATAAGAAAGAATACAAAGAATGGACAGAGGTCATCAAAGTAGTACAAAGTGGGGTGATGACCATCAGATTTGCAAAAAAAGAAAAATGACAAATGCTGGAAGGACTTGAGGGGGACACAGGTAAATTGATGCACTGTTGGTAGAGTTGTGAACTGGTCCAACCATGCTGGAAAGCAATTTGGAATCATGCGTCCAAAATTATTAAACTGGACATACTACCACTACTAAGTATATATCTCCAAAAAGATCAGAGGAAGAGGAAAAGGATCTATATGTACAAAATTATTTATAGCAACTCTTTTTGTAGTAGCAAAGAACTGGAGACGGAGGTGGTACCCATAAAATGGGGAACAGACATTTCTCAGTAAGTTATGGTTTGTAAATGTGATGAATTCTATTGTGCTGTAAGTTATGTTGAAGGGGATGGTTTTAGAGAAACCTAGGAAGAATTGTATGAACTGATAGGGTGAAGTGATCAGAACCTGAAGAACAATTTATACAACAATAATGTAAAGACAAATAACTTTGAAAGACTTAGGAACTCTGATCAATGCAATAATCCATCTTGATTCAAAAGGATTCATGTTGAAACATGCTACATACCTCTAGCCAAGGAAGTCATGAACTTAGGGTGAAGACTGAGACATATTTTAATTGGCATAGCCAATTAAGGAGTTTTTGTTTTTGCTTGACATGTTTGTTACAATTTTTTTTTTCTTAAGTAGAGGGGAGAGGAGGGAGAGAAGGTAGAATTTCACAGACTGAAAGGAAAAGAAAATGAGAGTTATTAAAAAAAAAAAACAAGGCAAGGGAGTGGCCTTTCAAATCTGCAGTAACTCACCAAGGAATTATTATTGTGTCTTATTTCACACTATTCCTTTTGGACATCCTTAAGGACCAGCCAAATTACACTATTTCCAGTTTTCCATGGCATCCAGTTCTCCTGCTTTCTCAATACCTCCTTTTGCATGTATGGTTGACACTTCCTCTCCCTCTCTTCCTTGGAATGGGAAGCACCACCTGATTTTCATTAAGCAAAATCCTTCATCAGAGACAGCAACGCCAGCATTTACTAACTGTGCCACCATGAGCAAGTCACATCATCTCTCTGAGCCCCCTCATCCGCGAAATGGGGATAATAATATTTTCTGATGTTCCTTCACAGAGTTGTTTTGAGGATCAGATGAAATAGATTAGCATTTTTTTTCCCTTAAAGATTCAGTTGGATGCTACCTCCTTTATGGAACCATCCCTTTTTCTACTGAAACAAGAGGTGCTTCCTTCTTTCTCAGTCTCTTTTTGACTTCTTTCTGTTTGAACCCTCTTAAAACTATTCTAGTATTATATACTATTATATAATATATCCTAGCAATATATGCTATACTAATCCTACTTAATACTAACTTGATTCATAGCTATTTGTGTACTTATCCGCCTATAGAATTTTAAGCTGAACTGGCTTCCTTGTCTCCTTCTTGCTCCCTTCTCTTCCTTTGGGAATCATATCATTAAAAATTTTTTCTATGGATACGCCTTCTATATAGTCATATTCTATTATCAATTGCAAGTTATCATTAGTGATCAGTAACAGTGACAATTAGCAAGTATTTAATGGCATAGAATATACCCTGAAGTTACAAGAGGTTTTTCTCAAATCAGATATATGATCTAACATGATATGTTAAGTATATAATAAAATTTCATGTGATGAGAAAATTATTATACTAGTAAATAGTAATTCTTTTTATTTCTAATAAAATAATTTTGACTGTCTTAATTTTTTTTCTGAGTTCTGAATTCTCTCCCTCACTCACCCATTGAGAAGGCAAGTAATGTGATATCAATCATATATGTGAAATCATGCAAAATATAATAGTCATTAAACAATACTTAGTAAATGTTTGATCTAAATCAGTCACATAAGGTAGCTTACATCTATATGGTGACATTACAATTTGCAAAATACTTTGCCTCACAACAACCCTATGTGGCTTATGATTCAAATTATTACCATCGTTTCACAGAGGAGAGAACCGAGGCCCTGAAATCAAATGACCTGACCACAGTCAGCTAGTAAACAGGTAGAGTCAGAAGTTGAATTCAGTTCTCTAGGCTCCAGAGTTCTGGTGAGCTGATTCCAGACTCTAAAACAACCTGTTCCGCGCCCCCCCGCCAGGAGCGCCCTGGGGCCCGGCTGCGCAGTATCGGAGAAGTCGACGGTACTCGGCCTATCTCCTTCGTCTCTCGCAGGCGACACCTCGGGCGCGGGGTTGGGCCGCCCACGCGCCTGGCATTGTGACAGAGAGGGCGGCGCACTCTGTGGCCGGTAGGTGGCGCCTCCCGCTGAGCTCCCTCCGAGCGCTGGGCCGGGCTTCGGCGGACCGAGTGAGCGAGGTAACTAAGGAAGGAGCCGCGGGGGGCAGCAACAGCAGCCGCCGCGGCGGCGCCACCCACCATCCCACCACAGCAGCACTGCCATCCCCAGCAGCCTCCTCACACCAGCTCGGCGGAGTGCCGAGGGAGGGAAGGCAGCGCGGAGGAGCCAGGCCAGCCCTTCCTCCCCCGGCCCCCGACTCCCCTCGCTCCCCGCACGTCTCCTGGGCTTTAGGCAGGGCTGCGACGGCTCCTGGCTTCTTCCTGAGCTGAGCGCGCGGCCCCGACACCATGGAAGGGCAGGCACGTGGTGAGTGCTGGGCGCCGGGCTGGCCCAGGGAGCTCCGCCGGGGAGCCCGGGGCCGAGGGGAGAGGCGAGGACAGCGAGTCACTTTCCCCACCTTTCCCCAACTTTGCTGCTTCTGGAGGGGAGCGGGGCTTGGCCGCAGCCGTCTTTGCGAGCCGGCGCGCTGTCCGCTCCCTCTGTCCTCCGAGAGCCGGGGCCAGCGGCGTACCCGCTCACCCCGGCCGGCCCCGCTGGCGGGGCGCACGGCCTTTTAGCCGGGAGCGGCGTCCTTCAGAGATGCCTGCCCTCGGGCAGCGCCCGGAGCGCCGAAACCAGAGAGGGGAGCCTGGGACACGAGGCGGATCCCGAGGGGGGCGAGGGGCCAGGTCGGGCAGATCCCCTCCGGGGCCGCTGCCCCCCAAACCCGACGTGCACCCCGGTTAACTTGAGGATGCCGAGCGAGGCGCGGAGGGCCGCTCTGTTTACTAAGGTTTTTCTTGGGGACTGGGAGCGCTCCTACCCGCTTTCCCCTTCTTTCCCCCTCCTCCCCACCTCAGAGAATGACGGACGAGGCGGGTGCGACGTACCCTTGGTGGGGCCCCTGAGGACGGCTTGCTCCCCGAGAACCTGCCGGGCAGAGAACCTAAGAGCATGGCCCTTCTCCCCCAGCGTGACTGGGCACCATCCTCCCTCTCCACGTAGTGATATGGATTCTCTGTCGCGACATTTTTGCCTAGAAGGCTCTCCTCTCCTCATCCTCCGCTTCCCTCCTTCCTCCCACTTCCATTCTTCCTCTTCCTCCTTTCTTCTTCCTTCCATTCTTCTTCCTTTCCTCCATTCCTCTTCTTTCCCCTCATTCCTTTTCATCCTTTCTTCCCCTTCCTCCTTTCCTCTTCTTTTCCTTCTCTTTTCCCTTACTCCTTTGCTCTTCTTCCTTCTACCCCCTTCCATTTTTCCTTCTTCTTCCTCCTTTTGTCCCTCCTTCTTCCCGTCCTCCCCCCTTTTCTCCCCTTCTTCCTTTCCTCCATTCCTCTTCTTCCTTTCTCCCCTCCTTACCTTTCCGTTTCTCCCATTCTTTTTCGTCCTTTCTTCCCCTTCCTCCCCTTGTCCTCTTTTCCTTTACCCCTTTCCTCTTCTTCTTTTCCATTTTCCTTCCCCTTCCTCTTTTTGTCCCTTCTTCCTTCTCTCTCTCCCCCTTTTTTCCCCTTCCTCCGTTCCTCTTCCTCCCCCCTCCTTCCTCCTTTTTTCCTCCTTTCCTGGCATTTTTCTTCCTCTTCTCCTATTCCTCTTCTTTCTCCTTTTGTCCCTCCCTACTCCCTTCCTCCTTTCCTTTCTATTTCCCTCCCTTCCTCTTTCCTCTTCCCCTTTTATCCTCTCTTCCCTCCTTCTTTCCCTCCCCTCCCCTTCTTTCCTTCACTTCTTCACTTCCTTTCCCTCTCTCCCTCTGTCCTTCCCTCTTCCTCTTTCTGCTCCCTGGACCTCTTCCCACCTCCCTCCGTTCTTTTCCTTCGTTCTTCCTCCCTCCCACCAATCCCTCCTTTCCCCTTTGCCTCTTCCTCCCTCCTTCTCTCTCCTCCCACTCTTGCTAGCTTTCTTTCCTCCCTATTTCCTCATTCCTTCCTTCCCCCCTTCTCTCCTCCATTTCTCTCTCCTTCCCCTCCTCTCCCTTCCCCTTCCCCTCTCCCCTTCTTAATTGGTGAAGCTTTGATGTTTGGGGGAGGGTTTGTGTTGAGCAGAATCTGTTTGCTGTCAGAAGCTCAGGCCAGAGTCGAGATTCCTGGTGGGTTGGCAGCGGTGGAAAAGCAACAGACTCTGGGTGGGAGCGAGGGAGAGACAGGTGAGATCGAATTTGAGTGGCTGAGTCAGTCCCGGGACATTCAGCCTGGAGTGGGATATATTTATTTTCCATTTGAGTATGTTGAAGGGTAATAAATAAATAAATAAATAAATGACCAAACAACCTGACACTTTCTTTCTTGGAATTGTAGAAGACTTTATTTTCACTAGGAAAATGAATCATCTGTCAGAATTAAATAGCCGGTCTAAGAATGCAAAAAGTGGATTTCTGAGAGTGAATTGTACCAACTTCTTATAGTCCCTCTGACCTCTTCTGTGCACTTTTCTAATTATAATGTGTCCTGTATTCATTTATGTATCTTGTCCCCTTGAAAAGGTAGGGATTGTGTTATTTTTCATATTTTCTCTCCCCTGGGGCCAAGCCCAGTGCTTTCAGCATATAAAGAGCTTAATAAATGTTTGTTGGAATGAAATGAATTTAGGGATGAGACACAGTATGGGGGAGCATTTTGGAGTTGGCCAAGGTCTAGAATTGACCAATGGGATTAGAGAATTCCCCATGACTTTCTTAAAAAGTAACTGCCTAGGAGCAGCTAGGTGGCCCAGTAAATAGAGCACCTGCCCTGGAGTCAGGTAGGATCTGAGTTCAAATTTGGTCTCAGACACATAACACTCAATAGCTGTGTGACTCTGGGCAAGTCACTTAACCTCAATTGCCTCACCAAAAGAAAAAAAAAAGTAAAAGTTACTGCCTCCTGCATTTCCTCATATTCTAAATAGAGAAATTGTAGTGAAGAGTATTACCATTATAAAATTAGAAAATCAGAAAAAATGGTTGGTCAGATTAATGAACGGAAGTTACTTGCGTTCACTCTGACAGGTAAGAAATCCATTGATCAACACACATTTATTAATCCTTAGTTTTCCGAGCAATGTGTTCAATTCTTGGGATATAGAGAGGGGCAAAAACTTCCTGTCCTCAAAAAGCTTACATTTTAACAGGATAGAAAACAATTTAAATAACCACATAAATACAGGATGCAACACTTGATCCTAACCTTTTGGAACGTCACTTTGGTAGCTGAATGGAGGATGGATTGAAGTGAGGAGAGATTTAATGCAAGACCAATTAGTTGGAAGGCTGTTGGAATAACCCAATTTAAAGATACTGAAAGTCCTGAACTAAGCTGGCTTTGAGTGTAGAGAAGGGAGATGATGTAGAGATATGAGAGATGATGTGAGGGTAAAAATGACAGATACAGGTCTTGATCTGTTTTGAAGTCATTAGACAATTTCAGGAACTCCAAGTTGGAGATGAGACTTTTTTCATACCCTCTGTGAATAATCAGATTCCCTGATATATTCTGCAGACTGCCTTCTTATCTAAACTACAGGCACTGTACACTGGAGATTGTTATAATAAATCTTATGTATTAATAATAAATATACTCCTTTTTAAGTCGGCAGAGCCTTTCATTTAAAATAAAAGGTACATTTTCTGATCTTTCTCAACTTTTCTTTTGCCACCTTTCTGCTCAAATTCATAATTGTCCTTTATGATTTTAGTCCAACAAACATTTTTAAGTGTACAAAGTACTGTGCTGACAATGTAGGTACAAAAAAAAAAGTCTTTCCCCTTAAGGAACTCAAACTCTAATAGAAGAAATAGGACATTTAACAAAGATATGTGGCATAGGGGCAAAGGAGAGATCCAAACAATAGCAAATTGATATTTATATTGAAACTCAGATATAATATCCAGAACAAATTTGAGGAAAGGGAAATTACTTTGACCTGAGGAGATTAGGAAAGGGATGGCATATGAGCTGGGGCTTATGGCATATGAACTTGAGGGAAAAAAATGGTTCCAACAGATGGAGATGAGCAGGTAGTGGGTTTTAGGCATAGAAGATGAATCAACATTGTGAATAAATGATGGCAGGAGAATATAGACAGTGAACAGGGAGTAAAGGTAGTTAAATTTGGCTGGAACATAGAGGGCATGGTAGGCCATGCTATGAAGGGATCCTGAAAAGGTAAGTTGGAGCATTGTGGTGAATCGTACAGGTACTATGAAGGTTCTTGAACTAGGGAATGAGTGACATGGTCAGAGCTATTTTTTGAAAGGTGGTTTTGACAGCTGTGTGGAGGATGGAGAGGAGGGGGAAGAGACTGGAGGCAGGAAGACCCTGGAGCCTTAGATTAGGAGACTTCTATAATAGTCCAGGTAAAAGGAAATGGGATTTTGGCCTGGATTGATGGCCTTGGGCATGGAAATGAGGGGAGAGCTTAGAGATATAAAAATAAAATAAATAGAATTTGGCAACTGGATGTAGGGAGTAAGAGAGAGTGAGTGTTAAAGATGATACCTACATAGAACAAGGTTTAAAGAAATAATCCCTTAGATACAATTTAATATATCTGTCACTAAACTTGATGTCACTAAGCTTCTGTAATCCATAAGGAATCTACATTTTATCTAATTAGCAATATAGACTAGCCATTTTTATAGACTTTTGTTTCCAAGGAACAACTTACCAACATCAATAGGATTTAGATCAAAATTATTTCTAATAGGGATGGTTTCCTTTAGCAGTCGTAATGATTAGACATATTTATAGAGAGCTTTCATACAAATTACTTTATTTGATCTACACTTTATTTGCTTTACACAGCAACCTTGAAAGCTAGAAAGGGAAAGTATTATGCTTATTTGGCAGATGACATAACAGACACAAAAAGATTAAGCAATTTGCCTGAAGTCATAATAATATAGCACGCTTATGCATGTGACGCAGTCTGGATTTAAATTCCAATATTTTTCTGTTTTCAAGTCCATTATTCTGTTCACTCCCAAGGATTTTAACTCCCATTATAAGATAGTAGTAGCTGCCTTCTTTCAGAAAACAAAACTTGTGACAAATGGTTTTAAAAGTGTAGAAGAGCATAACACAGGTGTGATTGGTATCCTTCATTATACTGAAGACTTGTGTACTTTAATATAATTAATAAAGTGAACTGCTTCATGGTATAGCATGCTGTAATAGTATACTGGGATTCAATCAGGCAGGTTCAAATCCTGCCTTTGACAGTTATTAGCTGTGTGACTATGGGCAAAGCACTTAACTCTCTCATAAATTTCATCACCTGTGAAATGGAGGCCTTACAGGGTGGTGATGAGGTAAAAATGAGAAAAGTAAGGTTTGCATTCCTTAAAGTACTATATG